CCGACTTATTGATAAAAGAAATTGCATAGCCGAATATTCAAAAATTAAAAACGCTATACCTAAAATGTACATAGATATACTAAGGGGTATAAACATTTTACCGAGCCAGCAGGTCAATTTGTTAATTAAATTAGACAACTTAGATCTGTACACAATTTCGGGTATTAAAATAACTCCCAAAAATTTACAACCGAAAGATATTCAACACGTACTTAATCAAAATACCTTACCTAAGGCACAATTAAAATGGGAAACTGAGTTTGCTGTAAGTATCGACTGGAAATCAGTTTGGGGTAATTTTAAGAAATCTCTGTATAAAAAATAAAATTAGTGAATTCCATTGGAAGTCCATTCATAACATTTACACCGAATCTAGACTACATCGATTTCAGCATTCTTTGGTTCAAGGTAACTGCCATTTTTGCAAAAATCACATTGAAACACAAAATCATCTTTTCTATAATTGTAAAAAGATCTACCCATTAATATTAGATTTAAAAACTATATTCTCAAAAGTTCACTTGACACATGAATTAATTTTACAAGAGATAAATATGATCCTAGGTATTTATGACAGGCCTATAAAGTAAATTATATTTGGCAATATTCTAATATGCATAGCCAAATGGACAATATGGAAACTTCGAAATCTAATAAAGTTTGAAAACATCACTTGCAAAAATAATAGAATTATTAGACAATTTTATTGTGAACTAAAAGAAAATATCGTTTTACGTTTAAATCATTTACAAATTAAAGAACCAGATATCAATAATGATCTGGTACACTTATTAGATCAGATATGTAATAATTAGGTCAAGTGTGTACTTTTACTTTTTTAAGTTAACGTATCGATAAATTCCATTAGAAAAAAAGGTGATTTTGTTTACCTTCTTATTATATTTCCATTGTTTATATAAAAAAAAAAATATAGAGCAATGTATATAACCTGATTAAAAACTTACCTTGTTGTAAACAGGTATCACTGTTTATAGATCTGGTGTGATCAATTTAATGCATTATGTTGGGTGTGTTTGACTTGGTTTTAATTTGATATAAGAAAACTACAATATGTAATTTTATCAGTAAAGTGGACATTTATCTCGCCTGTTTTCTCTGGACAGGAGTGAGAATGTAACACACAGACCTAAGTATGCTCTCCTGGGCTACTAAGGTAATTGTAACAGGTTATTGGAAATAAATTGTATTTGAATTTAAAGAAAAAAAAAAAGAAGTTTTAGAGCATTGATGACCCCAGATTCCAAAGGATTTTTCCAAACACAGCTAAGTTAATTTATTTCTATGGCAGAAAATCCTTAGTTTTTAGAAAGTTTGGTAAACAGTTGATTTATAATTATGAGCATATCAATAATAATTCATATCAACACAGAGATGCTGACTACTGTATGTTACCGTACGGACTTCAGCAATGAGCAAAACCCATACCGCATATCAAGCTTTTACAGGCACCGAAATAAATAACGTAATACAATTCAAACGAGAAAATTTACAGATTGATTCATGTTCAAAACAATAAACTAAACATTAACTCTTTATCAACCTACATTACGCCACCATTATTGGATCTCAATATTTCTAATGTGTATGCACTGACCTCTTTTATTGTATTTATTCTCTTCTTTGTTCGCTATATATTGTAGAGTCTTTTTATTGATTCACTGAATTAATTACCAATATTTTGACAAAACGAGATTTCCTTTGAATTTATCTCTGCTGTGGTTCTTATGTATTTTCTTCATAAATGAAAAAAAGTAAAATAACAAAAATACCGAACAAGGAAAATTCAAATCGGAAAGTCCCTTATCAAATGGCAAAATCAAAAGCTCAAACACAAACGAATGGAAAACAACTGTCATATTCCTGACTTGGTACAGGCATTTCCTTATGTAGAAAATGGTGGATTAAACCTAGTTTTATAGCTAGCTAAACCTCTCACTTGTATGACAGTCGCATAAAAAATCCATTATATTGACAACAATGTGTGAACAAAACAAACAGACATAATAGGTAAAAATGTCAAAAATAGGGGTACAGCAGTCAACCTTGTGTTATAATCTTTATCACTATAATTACAAACAAATATGTCAACAAATAAAAACAAAATGGAATATAGACAAAGCACATAAGCAAAAATGAAAGACAAGAATACAAACAAGAGTGGACACACAGAAATGTCTCGCCTGTTTTTAATAGTGTTCATAATTGAAAAACAATAGCCAGGGATCTTCCTCTTCTTTCTGTTAATTTATGTAGCCACATATCCAAGTTAAGTTGCAATCCCATTGAATACATCCTGAAACCTATGTTCAAATTTTAGTCTTTTTTAGTTACCTTGACCTTAGGCTTAAATATAGGTCTGTAATGCTTTTACATTCGTGTTGAGTAACAGGTTTTTAGAAAAAACAGCATCATAAAATCACATGGGATACACTTTTGGCTAATAAATCACAGGCAAATATAGCAACAACATTTGAGTAAATAAAATCGCATTATACAAATTTTTTTTTGAAACTTTAAGTCAAATGACTACTAAAAGCAAACTTTGAAATTTCTTATGAAATAATTTTTCATCTAGATTTAAGGTTCATCAGAAGGGATTGACAAATATGGCCATTTTTTTTTATTTCCTCTTGAGTACAGACAAACCTGTGCACAAGGAAAAGTTTTAAGGCATTGCAGAAACTGGATAAATATTTGTCAATTCCTTGAGATGAACCCACCACAAAAAAAAAAAAAAAAACTAAAATTATCTTCAATCTTTGATCAAAATATTGTAAAAAGTCATATTTTCATATTATCTATTTATCTATTTATGTTGCTATGCTAAAATATTTTTTACTTATCTCAATACTTATCTTATTTCATATGTATCAAAAATCAGTAAATGTGATTCTGTTGTGCAAACAAAATTTCAAAAGTTCTTCAATCTGTACATATTCAGCCAATTAATCTTTATGAAGGGACTGGAGTGAACTGTATTCTATGTTACACATTCATGCATGAGTGACCTTATTTTAACATTTTCACACCTTCCAATGTTTTTGTTAATCACGGTTTAGTAATGATCCCTTAAAAGTTTTTATTATTTATTATCATTATTAATGTTATTTAAAGATTTTTATAAAATAATCTATTTCAATGTAAGTAATCAGCAGTTAAATAATAAAATACATTCCATACACCAAATATAGTTGACCTACTACTTATAGCATCTGAGAAGAAGACCAAACAACAGAAACTTAACATTGACCAATGAACCATGAAAATAAGCTCAAGGTCAGATGAAACCAGTCAGACAGACGTGCACACCTTACAATCATTCCATACACCACATATAGTTGACCTATAACTTATAGTATCTGAGAAGAGGACCAAACAAGAGCAACTTAACATTGACCAATGAACCATGAAAATGAGGTCAAGGACAAATGACACCTGCCAGACAGACATGTACACCTTACAATCATTCCATACACCAAATATAGTTGACCTATTGCTTATAGTATTAGAAAAACAGACCAAAACACAAAAACTTAACATTGACCAATGAACCATGAAAATGAGGTCAAGGACAATGACACCTGCCAGTCAGACATGTACACCTTACAATCATTCCATACACCAAATATAGTTGACCTATTGCTTATAGTATTAGAAAAACAGACCAAAACACAAAAACTTAACATTGACCAATGAACCATGAAAATAGGTCAAGGACAAATGACACCTGCCAGACAGACATGTACACCTTACAATCATTCCATACACCAAATATAGTTGACCAATGGCTTATAGTATTAGAAAAACAGACCAAAACACAAAAACTTAAAATTGACCAATGAACCGTGAAAATGAGGTCAAGGTCAGATGAAACCTGCCAGACTGACATGTAATCCCTTATAATCATTCCATACACCACATATAGCTGACCTACTGCTTGTAGTATCTGAGAAACGGACCTAATCACGTAACTTTAACCTTGATCACTGATCCATGAAATGAGGCTGAGGTCAGGTGAACCCTGTCTGATGGACATGTAGACGTTGCAAGGAACCCATATACCAAATATAGTTATCCTATTAATCATTATAAGTGAGAAATTTACATAACAAAAAAACTAAACTTTTTTTTCAAGCAGTCGCTGAACCATGAAAGTAAGGTCAAGGACATTGGACATATGACAGACGGAAAGTTCGTAACATAAGGTATCTGCATACAAAGTATGAAGCATCCAGGTCTTCTACCTTCTGAAATATAAAGCTTTATACAAATAGTTTACGCCGCCGTCGCAGCCGCCGCCGCCGCCGCCGGATAGTAATACCTGTCTCACTTTCTGCGACTTTCGTCGCAGGCGAGACAAAAATGACACAGCACAACCACACATTGGCGGGATGCATAAGTACCGAGCAACGCCAAAAGGATATTACCAAAAATGGACTAAACAGTAAAGGTTAATAATTTACAAAGACAAATAAAAGAACACTATAACATGTAATTAAGATGATAAACAACGTCAGTACCTAGAATCTATACTTCAAGACCATCATGTGTATTATATGTGAAGTTGATACGGAATATTTATCAACAATGTCTTGGTATCTTCCGATGAACTTTTTTTTAGAAAAAGGACGTGACGTTCTTTGACATAACCCTGGTTCATCATTTCTGCTCAGATACTGGTGACGTTTTATAAAGTCTGGGTAGAAGCTTCAAGCTCTTGAATACCGAATGAGTTGGTTTAACTTTATACATTTGCTCAGGTCGCTTTTTAAATTAATGTTCATATCATTTCATGTCTTTTAACTTATTCAACTTTGATAAAAAATTCTGCTTAATATTTTGAATGAAAAAAGTAGAAAACCGAAGCGCAAGTCAGGAAAAAGGAAAGCCAAAAACAAACTCATTGTCAAGAAAAAAAGAAAAACAATTTACAACATCACATTGAAAACTAAACGCATTCAATGAAGTCAAATACTCACCAACCAGAAAATAATGCAATCCTCTCATTATTTTACAAATTTTGTCGCATATCGGAGACAAAATACGTAACTAGCTATAAACCACTTTTATTATTATTTCCATATTAAATATTCATATTAACTTCCTCAATCGAGGTTTAAACTCAATAATGTAGTTTGTATCAAACATTTACTTGAATCGCTTATCAGTAATTGAGAGACTGTGAATTTTAGCATACATAAGCTATTGCCTATCTGACTCCTGTGCTGGTAGTGGGTATTCGTGACTTAAATTTGTCCAGAATGCTATGGTTTTATGTAATTAGATTTTTACAGATTGAAAACAAGAGATTCAAAAATAAAACATTTCTACTAAAGAACAATGAAATTTAGGTTTAAATCTAATTCAATTGCAACATATATGATAAGTCCTAGATGTAAATTTTTCAGTCATATTCTCAGGTTTTATTTTCGTTTGATGTTTGACATTTTAGAATAGAGAATGGAAACTGGGAATGTGTCAAAGAGACAACAGCCCGACCAAAGAGCATAAACAGCCCAAGGCCACCAATGGGTCTTTAACGTTGCGAGAAAATCTCGCAACCGGAGGCGGGCTTCAGCTGGTCCCTAACAATTATGTATACTAGTTAAATCGATATGACTGAAGTTTAGCAGTACACAGGTGACTTGAAAAATCATATATTACTTGCGCACCTTTAAATACATATATACAATATTTGGTATTACACAAAAGATAACACAAGAGTTCATAACTACACTATTTGTGTATGTGTATAAATTCATAAAAAATACCACGCTTATAATCAGGTACGCCAATCGCAAGTAACATCTACATAAGATAGACTCATCATCGAATCAAAACAGTTGGAAAGACAAATCAAGCAACACTTTGAAGAACATCAAGAACCAAAAATTTCGAAAAGTTGTGCCACATACGACTAAGGCAATTGCTACCTGAAAAGGGGGTGTCGAAAACCTTAGTGCTTTGAATATTATACCATTTTATAAATGAACATACCAATGATATTTCATGTCTGCACAAAAGTGCTGATTATAACGATAGTAATATCCTCGGAGAAGAAACGTCCACAAGCAGCGACATCCACCCAGTGGTTGTAAAAACTCTTCCCAGACTTATAATTTGGTACGCCAGACGTGCGTTATATCAACTGAAGACTCATCAGTATATAACTATATTAAAACTAAATAAATCGGATAATGCTAAATATTTTATCGAAACGTCAAAACACAAAATATCGAAGTACATACATAATTTGGATATGGTTATGATATTACAAGTTTATCGATATTATAACAACTGGGTGTTAATGGTTTTATGATTCACGTATCTGCTTTACAAGAACTGGGTGTTAATGGTTTTATGATTCACGTATCTGCTTTACAACAACTGGGTGTTAATGGTTTTATGATTCACGTATCTGCTTTACAACAACTGGGTGTTAATGGTTTTATGATTCACGTATCTGCTTTACAACAACTGCGTGTTAATGGTTTTATGATTCATGTATCTGCTTTACAACAACTGGGTGTTAATGGTTTTATGATTCATGTATCTGCTTTACAACAACTGGGTGTTAATGGTTTTATGATTCACGTATCTGCTTTATAACATAATCCCCATTGACCTCATTTAATCTTAGTTCTTCAATTTCAGTAGTTTTATGAACTAACCCTTTTTTTAATTCACCTTGGAGTTCGGTATTTCTGGCAATGCTTTTTTTTTAACTATATGTAAATGTACTGAGGCTATATTTGAAATGAAACTAAACAAGGCCACAGGTTCGGATGGCCTAAATGTTGAGATTTATTATAGAGATATTACCAGTATTCAATTATTTGCCTTAAAAGGGTGTATAAACTAATTTCCCCCAAAATTGGAGCTATATCTCTTTCATATAATATGATATCCTTTTTATTGATAAGTTAGATTTATCACATTATCAAATTATGATGGTAAATTATCACCCTTTGCTTTAGCACAAAGATTACAATTAGTACTTCCGAAAATCGTTCATTCTGAGTAAAAAGTTAGCACAAAGATTACAATTAGTACGTCAAAAATCGTTCATTCGGATCAAAAAGGGCAAATCAAAAACAGACACAAAGATTACAATTAGTACTTTCGAAAATCGTTCATTCTGACTAAAAAGGCCAAATCAAAAACAGACACAAAGATTACAATTAGTACTTCCGAAAATCGTTTATTCTGACTAAAAAGGCCAATTCAAAAACAGACACAAAGATTACAAGTAGTACTTCCGAGAATTTTTCATTCTGATCAAAAGTTAGCACAACGATTACAATTAGTACTTCCGAAAATCGTTCATTCGGATCAAAAAGGCCAAATCAAAACAGACACAAAGATTACAATTAGTACTTCCGAAAATCGTTCATTCTGACCAAAAAGGGCAAATCAAAAACAGACACAAAAATTACAATTAGTACTTCCGAAAATCGTTCATTCGGATCAAAAAATCCAAATCAAAAACAGACACAAATGATTTTAAATACCGATTGTACTTGTTGAGAGATGGGACTTTAATAAAACATTGAATTGTAATAAGACAGGATGTTCGTTATCCTCATTGATTTCCGTTGAAATACTGGAAATTTAATTCCGGCAAAATACACAACTAAAAGGATTTGAAATCAAATTAGACAAAAAAGCCTGCCTTTTACGTAAACAGATGCCAATTAAAAGATGATACGAAATAGTTTAAAGACACTCAAAGATGTAAGTTTAATTGCCCTTACTATTATTGATCATTTTGGAAGCCTTTCTGGACTTGAGTTGAATAGAATTGAAACAGAAAATGTGTGGCTTGGGAAACTTAACATCCAAAAGATACATTTGAAAAATAAACTGGAATAAAGACCCCATTAAAATATATTTTGGATACCATTATCAAGAATGTACATAAGTTAAAAAACAGACGTTATTTTGGTAATGCAAATTAAAATAGAAATACTTTAACATGCAAGTTATGCAAATATTCAAAGTCAATGAACCATGACTGAAGGTACAGGGCTAAACAATCTCCATGGCAATGAGATGTGCAAATGCTAATACAACTGCATACCAAATACTATTGACTTATCATAAGTCGTTCCCTTTAAACAAACCTAAACATAAACATTAACTTGTAAACTATGTGAAAGTTTCAAAGTCAATGAACCATGATGAGGGGTGGGGCTATGTTATCTCCATGGAAACGAGACATGCAAATGCCAAATACTTTGCATACCAAATATCATTGAATTAACATTAGCGATTCATCTAAAACTGATATAATCACAAACTAATACATATAAACTAAGCAAAAGTTTCAAAGTCAATATACCATGACTGAGGGGGCGGAAAAATATTCTCCATGGAAATGAGATGTGCTAATGCTTATACAGCTGCATACCAATTACCATTGGCCTACCACTAATGGTTCCCCTTGAACTGTCCTAATCACAAACTAATACATGTAAACTAAGCAAAACTTCGGTTTCAAAGTCAATAGACCATGACTGAGGGGCGGAGCCAAATAATCTCCATGGAAATGAGATATGCCAATGCTTATACAACTGCATACCAAATATCATTGACCTACTACTAGTGGTTCCCCATAAACTGACCTAATCATAAACAAATACACGTAAACTAAGCAAAAGTTTCAAAGTCAATAGACCATGACTGAGGGGGCAGGGCAAAATAAGCTCCATGGAAATGAGATGTGCCAATGCTAATACAACTGCATACCAAATATCATTGACCTACCACTAGTGGTTTACCACAAACTAGACCTAATCACAAACTAATACATTGTTGACGCCGCCGCCGCTGCCGCCGGAAACAGCATACCTAGGTCTAGCTTTTTGACTCCGTCAAGGTGAGACAAAAATCAATCAAAGTTTTCTACACATGATGTACATGTATATATGCACTTGCATAAGGTCGATTTCTATCCGACGCAGGTTAAATGAAATAAAGCAAATAATAAAAAAATTAATATATAATATGACTTATACCCGACTTAGTATATTCTAGGATTTTGATTGGTTAACGCACGTCGCAAACTGGAATCCGCTTGTATTACGCTACACTCAAACAATAAACTCTATGAACAAAGTGTAGCAGTAGGCTGAGAACTAGTTAAAAAACCATAGCCCCCGGGTGTTGCTAACCCATATACCCGGACGTTGCTACCCATTACCCCCAGGGAACTTCACGCGCGTTTTCCTTAGTTCCATGGTTGTTCCTAGTGAAAAATTTAATTCTGTAGAATATACATGATGTCTGTAATTAAATATGTATTCCACTAAAAATTCAATCATATCATGCCGATCATTTGCATTCATTTTAGTAAATGCATCACTTGGCTGCCACTGCATCACTTGACTGCCACATTGTCACTGAATAGACAACTTTCGAGTTCGTTGCATTTCCGTCAAACACGTTGGTTTTAGTGAACTTCATTCGTGCGTTTAGGGGCATCGTCACTTCCTTCCCATGTTGAGCGAGCGGTTGAAAAAATATAATGCTGTATTTCACGAATTATTCGGCGAATTAAATTCTAATAATTGATAATCAGCACTGCTGTCATTAGGGAATTGTTATTAAGTACCTACGGAACAAACATTTTTTCTAGTTTATCCTGCATAATGAAGATCACGAAGACGCTTGATGAACTATAATAGTGCAGGGATACAGGTGATCCCCTCTATCTGGTAAATGACGTCATAAAGGCGCGCATAATTGAAGAACTTTTCCGGTGAAGGACATAACTCGAAAGTGGTCTATTGGACTACTGGTCTAGCTATGCAAATGACCCACGTTGACGTCACATCATCTAGGACGTAACGCTCGTAGCATTGAGCGCCGAATTTGACTGTCTCTGGATTAAAAACGTCTTATATTTGACAACCTGTAGGGTTCTACCCCGTAAAAATATGTCAAATTCTCAAATTTCAATAAAACGTTTTAAAAAAATAAAGAAAACGTTGCTTTCACGTTTCAATTTGTGCTCGAATTTCCCTAAAAATCACAAGGCTGCAGTTTCATAAAACAATCGTTAGCGTACGTTTGATCGTTAACCAAACGTAACGCTAAAATTCCGTTTC